AGCTGTTCGAAACATGTTTCTCACAATCGTCCTCTTTGTGTGTGAAGGCAGGAAAGAAGGGAAATGAACGAGGATTTTCTTGCTACTTGGCTTTCGGTACTACTTTGTCATGTAACCGCTACTTGATAGGTTTTTTAAATGTTAAAATATGATTTATTAGCGATGAAGTAAGTGTAGCTATTAAACGATGCTTAAGAAGGACAGGTCTGGATGAATCGGTAGCGATAGTTGAAATATCACCGGCTACTCTACGTCGTCAGTTAGTTCGTAACCGCTGTATGACCGTCTGTGTGAAACAACAAATTGCGTAATTTGCTCTTACGGTGGGGACGGCGATTGCATCAGTTAAGGTACGATATACCAGATCTGCCGTAATAATTGCGGAGATGAATATATCGGCGAAACGGGCAGAGCTTTGTGTATCCGTGTAAAAGAATGCCTAGATGGCAAACGAAAACTAAGGCGAAGCACCCCACTAGGCACGCATAGGGTAGAAAAGATTAGCGGAGACGACTTTGAAGTAAAAGTCAATATCCTTGCACAGGAGTCCAAAACACCAGCGCGAAAACTTTTTGAGGCTTTTTGAATAAATGCGAAAAAACCTACAATGAATAGCAGAGATGAATGCCCAGAGGTCATACGCGACCTGACCTCGTATGTTCGCATCAATTTCTGATGTGGCATGAGGCAGTCATGAACCATATGCGACTATAATCAGCTGTTCTAAACTTCCTCATTGGAAGTCACGAAAAAGGGGTGGGTTTTTCAAGAAGCTGTTGATCATGTTATTGCCATAGAGTTTTTCGTCTTTTTGTAAGTGTTATTGAAGCGTTTGGCCTAGTAGCTGTATATCAGTATACCCTTCCAGGCTCTGAAAAGGCGATACTGCCGAAACGTCAGCTAGTGTTGTATTGTATTGTGTTTTCTATGGAAGCAAATGTATGCTGTTTAACAACCTCGCGACTGCTGAACAAGAAAACGACGCATTCATAATCTGAGTAAAGTTAAGGTCTTAGTACTTGTGGTTCACAGCACTCGAAGACAAAAAAAATTGTAACACTTTCTTCGAATACGATGGCTGTGGAGAAGAACGTTGAAACTTATTTCCTAAAATAAAAACAAAAAAGCAAATCAACTGGAAAGCATTCATTTCGATAACAATTCCACAGTTTATAGGTAATATGCACACAAATTAAAAAGGTGTGTAGAAATATGGCGCTGAAGCTAGCAGGAGTGTAACGTATTTGATCAAACGGAACTCCAAACTGGGCGCTGACGACGTTCAGGACTACGAGGGCAAAAAACGGATTCCTATAAAGTTAATATGAAGTGACCGATTCTGTTCGAAGGACAATTCAGAACCATAGAGAAAAAGCGCAACAGAGAAATGAACTCATGCTGTTCATGGATCATTCCACGCTTTGAAACTTCGCACTCTGTACTATCTGAATCGAACGTTCATGTTCAGCTGCGGTGACCGCTCCATCACTACAGGGCATGTTGGCGCCTACCGCTTGCGGAAACTGGATGCGCAAGTCCGGAAAACTGGACGAATCCCGTCGCTTGAAAACCGATCCACGTCCGAAAAGCTGCCGCTGTAAACGTTGTAGAATCCGACAAAACTACTGCAATCGGAATACACTAATGATATCGAAGCGAACGCTTTTCCTCGGCATGGTCGATATCACTGCGTGATTAACAAATCAAAATCATTTGTTCTAGAAGTGGAAGCTCGAGCTCGTATTTCATCACAGGATTTATAATTTCTTCCACCATGAGTAGATGTATCTATCTGTTTATTTACATATATACATATATACATTAGTATTCTTACCAAGTAGATCAAGTATTAGAAGAGCAAAGTATGAAAATGGCACGCAAAATTAAAAATGATTGACTGACTGTAACACCCTTAAACAAGAATGGTCAATCTCAGTAGCAGTCAGATGAGTGTCAACTTTTGAATTCCAGCGAGCACACCATCAGGCTTTCTTTAATAAAGTTGTAGCTAGAAGAGAAACGGTAATCCTTTTACCTAAATGTATCCGACGAGCAATATATTACCAGAAAACCGTGGTAAAGGTTAAAAGGACTTTGTTAATCTTTATCCGCTACCGTGGTTCCATAGCGTCTCGAGGAATTAGGTCTGCTAAAAAATTGTGGATTGGAACAAAATCTTTACATAATTATAATATGACCTGCTTTTGCTTCATCAGACTCACTGTCTGAACAGTTTAAAACGAAACTACTACTAGGGGACATACTTAGTGGAGACCTCATAGAAAGCGGCTCTGAAGAAGACGAAATTCGCCGAAACGTCAGCTTAATCGTGAACAAAGAACAATAACACCTCGCGTTTGCTCAAAAAAAAATACGAACAAAATCACTTGATCAATGCCGAGGTTAATAGAAAGTCGGTCGTGGCCGAAACTACTTATTTTTTAAAGCGCCACAAATCGGAAAAATCTCAGGTATAAATTGTAGTAGAGGCTTCGAAGACTGATATTCCATCGTGTTGTGCATCCTCCCCTATAGAGCACATTATGCTAAATCATTGTTCATTTCTCAGAAAACCAATTCGGGAGGCGCGCTCAAATTTGGAACCGATGGCGCATCTCATTTACAGCTCCTCTATGTTATGAGAACGAATTCCAGTCACTAAGAGACCATTTGAATTTCTGCACTGTCATGTGTACCTGTCTTTAATTGCTAACACGTCTGTTCATAGTTCATTTCCTGAATAAGAAGAATAGAGTGAATTTCCCTTAGTGAATTTTCGTGGTGAAAAATATAACACAAACGTAACGTGAGCTAAAATAATAACCCAAAGGATTCCACTATTTTCTTCATTGATGGCTGGCTCATACTTCCGTCATAAATCACTCACTGTTGGCTCCTATGAAGAGTTTCCTTACTCCTTATTCATAGAAAATCAAATTACTTAGGAAGAATTGCAGATAACGGCTCTAAAGTTACTAAAAATCATCTTAAATCGTATCGACTTACAAAACGTATGAAAGTGCAGATACAGCATAAGTTGACCGAATTCGCCATTGGAGCGGTTATACATCGAGAAACGAAAGCTCGCCATGGGATTCTACCTCGAAGCTCTCACTTGTTTTCGGTCGATTTTCTTCCTTCGTCACATTCTATTCACTATGATAAATATCTTCTTCCATTTTGATTAATCGCAAAGCATTTTCATAGACGCAACTAAGAAACAGTTGTAGAAGCCAATGGTTCAAGACATATAAGAAACAAGTTGCTGAATTATGCGAGAGTGTTTAGCGCCAAGCGGTGCTTAAGAACTTGAAGAAGGTTCTGGATTGATATCTGTGAAAATTTTGCCCGTGATAACCTCAGAATTCGAGAAGAAGATTTAAATTCGAAAGTACAGCTCTACCTTTGCATAAACTTCGCAGCGATAAATAACTTAGATAACCTGATGGACACTTCATTCATGATGTCGACTTTGTGTAAAAATGTAAGACTATAGGCCGGATATTTTCTTTGAACTTTGAAAGTATTTTAACCACTAGTATTTCGCTATGTCACGGTGAGAGAACACAGATGTACGGGTGTAGAAAATCACCGTGAACAGTATGCATTTATTCAAATCAACTGTTTGTACTGATATCAATTGGTTCTAGTTAAAATCGATCTTACCTCGTCGCAGTTATCATTCCAAAATTTGGGTCTGATTTCTAAATTTTTTAAAAAACTTTCTTCACAACACCCGACATCACATACGTTATGTGAATTCGAGAATTTCTTTCACTTGATTAATTTCCATTCATCCATCATCCATGAAGTCCTTAGTATTTGCTTATGGTTTCGGATACTGCTTGAGGATTTCCGGTCTTCTTCACGAATGCCGTTTGAATGCTGGTCGAGTCAATTCTCCCTGTGTTCCTTGGATAGCCGTGTTATGGTGGTGCTGGATTTTAACCGCAAGCAGTCACTGTCCTCTTATGGATTAAAGGGAACTTAGATGCAATCACAATGAAGCTAATATGTGACCAAAACTCGGAAACTCAGCTGACCTTCGAAGCCAACAATGTCCTTACCGGTGGCTCACTTGCTATCCATCACATCAACCCAAGCTCTTGTTTTGTCTTTCTCTCAACCAGTTGTCAGTTTAAATCACAACTGACGTTTCAAGTTTTGCTCATATGTCAGCGTCTTTGTGGTTGTATTTTATATAGTACTCTGCTATGAAAAAAGAATAAGCAGTGGATAAATGGAGCTTAGATAAACTGGTATCAACTTACAGATCCCGGAGGAATAGAAAGTCTGGTAAGCTCGGCGGAACTCAAATCCGGGTCCGGCGTCCTAGACATCACTTGTTTAAATAGAAAGTTATTTTTCTTCATCAACTGGTTTTCCATTTTTGGGTTGTCCTCTCTCTTCTGCGAGGCTGCATCAATGCTCTATCAACTATACGAAATTTTTCCAACGATAGACCTTCTTACGAACACGTACGAAAATTCGCACGTTCAAGCAGAAAAACCAGAAAACTGCAACGATAATCTGTGAGGTGTCACCGACCACATTCGTCCGAGAGCACTACGCCTTCACTGGTCATTTGTTGCTGGGCCTTCAGCTAAACGTTCCTGTTACAGTACGATATAAACCTAAAGTGGAATTTTATATCTGTGATATCGTCTCTATCTCATTTGTCGGCACGATATCATTCCGATATAGCTGAGTTTGACCACAGGCAGGATCTCGTTGGAGTGGGCGTCAACGGTATGCCGCGCAACAGAAAAAAATGACAACGTCACACCTGGCCGCTATAAAAGAGCTCTTCTTTCGAATAAAGAACCATAGTAATTTAAATCGTCTCTTCCATCAATCGTAATTATCATTACCATATTATCCGTTACCTCAGATAGCTCCAGTAATCTCGACAATACCGCTTGTCCATTTTCTGTATTCGAAATTTCCGGTAATTTCCGCAAGATATTTTGACTTATTCTTTCCGATTTAAACAGTTTCAGATGGAAGAGAAGTTAAAACTCGTTGAGGCCGAGTCGGTGAAGAAGTTCGCTTTTTTTGGCGTTGCAGTCTCAACCGTAGCTACGTTAACGGCTATAGTAGCAATTCCAATGCTGTGCATGTACATGCAGAATGTCCAGTCCGGTCTACAAGATGAAATCAACTTTTGCCGCACTCGTGCAGAAGGACTCCGAGGAGAGTACACAAAAGTGAGAAATGCTAATATTTAGTTATGCCAAGTTTTTTCTTCTTATTATCCTCACTCTTCCAGCTTGAGTCATTCCGTACTATCGAGACTCGCGAAAAGAGGCAGGCGTATCAGTGCTGCTCTTGTGGAATAGGACCGGCGGGGCCTGTTGGTAACCCTGGACAGGATGGAGCTCCTGGAAACGACGGTCGACCTGGAGCTCCAGGAGCACCAGGACCAGATGCTCCCAATGACCATGTTCTTCCTCGTGCGGAGGACTTCTGTTTCGAATGTCCACCAGGACCCGTTGGTTCTCCAGGCCAACCTGGACCTAAAGGACCACCTGGTAACCCTGGACCACCCGGAGAGCAAGGGCCCAACGGAAGACCTGGCTCACCAGGAGCGCCTGGACCTCAAGGACCGCCAGGGCCTAACGGAATTGATGGTCAACCAGGACTACCTGGAGCACCCGGTCAGGTTCGAACAGTACCATCTCCGCCTGGGCCACCAGGACAACCTGGAGAGCCTGGACCTCCAGGACCTCCCGGACCTGATGGACGTCCAGGAAATCCAGGTATCCCGGGTTCGCCCGGACCACAGGGTGACCCAGGACAGGACGGAGCACCTGGTAATCCAGGAGCACCTGGCGAGCCTGGACAACCTGGAAAAGATGGACTTCGAGGGTCGTGTGACCACTGCCCTCCACCACGTACTGCACCGGGATATTAACTGCATTCCATGGACAACAATTCTCTTCATCTCTGGCCTCTCTGAACTAGTTCATTTATCTTCTTTCGAGTTCTCATTAAAACTAAATAACAATGCACAATAAAAATTACAAGAAAACTGTTCCTGCTTTTAATTGTTCCTGCACAGAAAGCAATTGAATGAAAAATTCTCGGTCACTTTAGTTAGTTGATTTCGGACATTTCAATCAATTTCTCACAGTTCGCTCAGTGTTCACGCTGCACTGTTCTTTCTTTTATCGCACGTCCGCAATTAACTGTCGTCGACAGTTTGGGTTTTCTGGATTCTTGCCTCTAATCCCGTAGCGATAACATAGTGATAGGATGATGGTTGTCTTGAAACAATCAATTCTATCTATTACGCTGAGACGGAACAAGTCCAGAATCTCAATAAACTTCCAAATAAATCCATAATAAAGTGGCTAAGGGTACGGTGTTATCGAGTTTGAAACGAAACATTGGGAAAATTATGAAGCCGCTCGAATAGCAGTAGTTTTTTCGGCACAGTATAACTTCATGGAAGAAGTTGCTTTGCAGCATCTCAGCAGGAACACAGGGCGATGTGGAGACGATAGTCGACAGCGAACTCTTCATCGATTAAGAATAGCACACAAAGAATTACAGTTGCAGCAAATGTGTTTCCTTGTAGTTGCCCACAACTGGGTTTGAATTAATAGTTAAATCTAGGCTTTGGTGTATTTACGTATACAACGCAATGTAAGCCCACGCTTTATGGTTAGAGCCCGTTATACTATTCTGTCATGAATTTCAAACCTACGCCTTCATAATCTCGCTAAGACATTTGCTTTTCAAGAAATACACTATTTCTCTATATCTAAGCCAACAGACATGCACATACACAGGGAGGTTTGCAGTGTAACGGTGAAACAAGTTCGCCAGGTTTTTCTCAAAAGATCATGTCAGAAGTACTCATTAACATGACTCCGTAGATGAAAATGGTCCGATTTATCACCAAAAAAATCCGATATGTTTTCCTAGTCGATGAAATAAAGGTTCGCGCTTCTTTTCTGTCTTATTCACCAACTTTAAAAGGAATAAGGAAAACTATACATGCCTTTTTTTTTGTAAAAAATTCACACCATAACATGTTAGCGTGTTGTAATCTGCCATGTCAATCTATTAGCAAAACAGTGGTTTGCATATGTATCAAATGCGATAAAGAGAACTTATGCAATAACTCGAGGTTCCATTCAAGCTACAATGAGTGAATTAGCGATTACTATGTTTCAAATCGAAAAATGGGCGCGCGTGGCGCAGTGGTCGGAGGTGCCCTTCAACACATACGTGGAATCGATCCCCGCACACTGGCTCGATGCATTGGTGGGCCACCGCGAGTCATTGTAAAGGCCAGATATGCATTCGATCACCTCCAGCGATACTTAATGAGGTCCTTTAGGGATTCATCAACGCCGAAAGCGTTACCTTTTTATTTATGTTTCGAATGGTTCAATGTTTCAAAATCTTTGATTAGGTTTATCAAGGGCATCGTACTATAGCGAATAACGACTACTGGGAATAGTAAAGAAAGGTGGTAGTTAGAAATTTTTTTTAAAACTCTGCACGCCGCAAAGATTTATTCCTCTCCCACATCTGAAGAAGTAGTAGGGAAAAAAAACTATACGGTAAAAAGGAATAAAATTATAGAGAAGACGGGAAAGTCGTTCTGCACTCGACAAAAAGCACCCAAAAAATCCAACCTGATTCATCACTTCAACTTCATCACTTCTCAGGACTGCGAGGATGGTGATCACCACAAACGCACAAAGTTCGACTCGTTAAAACTTAGAGCAATCCGTGCGTCATTCGGCTATATTTGCCATCCGTACATAAAAACTATAGTGGCTATTCAACAACTCCTAATAATTTCTCAATAAATAAAGTACTTGAAAAGTTGATGACGTACCAGAACAGTGGAAAACACTTTCCTCTATATCTCCAGGAAAACATGCATTACTTTTCAGTGGTTTAGTACGTTAGATGATATTTACTGGTCAAGAACTGAAATTCATAGCCTTGAATTATGTCAGGAGATAAGGGACCAAGGATAGACCGATTCTCCATAAAAAATGACTGTGAAACAAATATAAATGCCGAAGATAATATTGAATGCGTGGTTCGTTGAAGAGTATAAAACAAGAGAATTTGGGGATGGTGGACTACGGCAGTAATGGTTGAGAGAATGATGAGGTCAATGGCAAGGCAATGCAGTCTCGCAAACACTGGGTATTTGATGAGTGGCTCCGGCGTTGACAAGTAATTTTGAGAATTATTTATGGTCAACATTCGGAAGGTGATTGTCAATGGGACGAGCAGATAAGGACTAGAAAACGATTTGTTTTGAAAACTGGTTTGTGCTAATAAATTGAAAAGATCCAACAGCCTCATTCACCTTAGGATTGGACAAAGTAAACTGCAACAGTTAACTGATTATTAAGGTTCCTACTCTTGTCAGCACGAGCATTTTCTCTGGTTATGGAGATTGTTTGGCTGGGTAGATTGCGGTTAACTTGATCCTTCTAGGCTCTGAGGAAGGCTGAGTGGTACGTCAGCTTGTTCACAAGTAAAGAATAAAGTAACTTCCTCGTGTGTGCTGATTAAGAAAACAGCGAAGTATTCGATCAACACCAAAGTTAATAGAAAGTCTCTTGTGGGAGTTACAATTTAAACTGTTTTGAAAAAGACAGAAAAAAGGCGCTTTTGAGAAACATTTTTCCAACAGCCACCAATGTGTGAACTGAAAAGGAGCAAAAGGTAGAATCTCCGAGAGTGAGCGGCAGATAGCCATTTTTAATGGTTACGAAGCTGTAGATCCTAGGAATATGCGTGGATGACGAACCATGCCCCGAAATGACATGTGCAATAAGGTCCCCTTTATCCTACCCTTAATTCTCAATGAAATAAGTGCAGCTATAAAACGTTGCTTAAAAAGGGCTGGTCTCGAGAAGTCATTTGCAGTGATTGAAATGCCACTGGGGACTCTAAGACGCCAGCTAGTTTGTGAACGTTTGTACGACGGTCTCTGCACATTGCAAAATTGGACAGTATGCCTTAACGATAGAGACGGTGGTTGAACGAGTTCGTGCACGGTTTATCGGACCTATTGTAAAGTGTTAGTAACGAATATGTTAGAAAAACGGGTATACGGCCACTCTGCGTCTGTATAAAGGAACACCTATTCGGTAAACTTAAAGTGAAACCAAATACTCCATTAAGAGCGCGTTGGACACAGTGACATAACAGTGAAGAATTACAAGTTAACATCCTATCACAGGAATCTAAAACTTCTGCGAGGTCTAATGCAATGAATAATGTGCATATTTGCAAATGTAGCGATACATCTCGAAAATCGTCTCGATTATTAACATTACATTGCAGCCGGATAATCCTCTTCGGACCGTTCATATTCTTGTAGATACTGTAGACAGCATCTAATACGATACGCCTGCTTATCCAGAAACTAAGAACAACAGGACTATCTGTCTGGAAATGAGTGATGTGACCCCTGCCAACTCAGGTGTGAGCATCCCACAGGCTAATATTGGAGGCGTTGGAGTTTATAGAAGCTAGCGTTTTCCGTTGTCTACCCTGTCAGTTCTTAAGAAATTCTGTCTTAAGCTCTGTCATTACATGCCACTCTTTTCGTAAATTCGAAACAATCATAAGAATGGCGCAAACACAGGAGGACAGTGCTGAAGAATTCGGACAAAAATTCGGACAGAAATGGGAAATGGGAATAACTTAATGAAATGAGGATCATCTTGCCAGCGTGCACTCCGAGGTATGTCCCTTTGATGGAAATGCCTTTTTCAAAATGAGAAACCATCCCTGCTGGACTTTGGAATCTCCAAACGTGACTATATGTGAAAATAACTAAAGATCACTTATTCGAAAATATATCACATTGTTGTCAATAAGAAAATGGAATATATTCGACGTCGATGTTATTAAATGTTTCTGTACAGAAAAAGCTATCACTTTCATCCACCCAATGATGTGAAATGGTGCCAGCAACGTCATTCACATAGCCAGTCATACCAATGGTGAAATGCTGCAGTTAAAATAAAGGATAAAGCTCTCGGCATCAATCAATCCCTGAGACACGTGCCATGCATTCGATTTCATTAAGCATCGTCGGAAGTGATTAAATGTATACCTAGCCTTTGCAATGACTACGATGGCCTACCGATGTATCGAGCCAGTGCTGCTATCCTCCCAGACAAGTATGGTACTAATTTACGACCTCGCATGGATAGAAGGTTTGGTGGGCCATGAGCTTGGTGATCAATTCCACGTGTGTATTGCAGTGGCCCTCCGACTGCACCACACGCGTTGTAGCTGTATATTGAAAACAAGTGAACGAGTTGACCGACTTATAAGGTAGAAACAATACAATGCCTCAAATATCCAATACACTGTTCTTTAAAAGGCGCACTGCCTAAGTCAACCATGCGCCGCATTAAACAGAGATAGCTGCTTCAGAATTACTGGCACTTTTTCGAAGCTTCCACCCTTGTAAAAAAAAATTTGCAAAGATTACGAACTTCCACTTTAATCTCAATACTTCAAAATGTCTTGAACAGAAGTAAAACAATGATGTTATTCGAAAAATAAACAGAACGACCCAGAATCAAACAAAGATTGATGATGCTTGAAACTACTCTCCTTCAATGATGAAAAGGTACCTAATGAAGCAAAGGGCAATGAAGATCGAAAATTCTGCAGAGTTTAAAACATATACAGTAACGTTAGCAGTTACCGCTCTGCCCTCATATTTACTGCTAACAAGAACTTATGAATATAACAAGATGGCAAATTTTTTGCAAACCGACATTGACGACAACTTGAACAAACTATAAGGATGCATGAAAACCACAACAATAAACAATAGTGAAGAGTGATCGTGGTTATAAACGCTAAAGAATAACTGAGCCAACACTTCTGTCAGTGGTGAATTATGTAATATGGAGTACTTAGATTGATTGAAAACAAAACTCGAGAACACTCATTAGACAACAAGTGATAGAAGCAACGCTGATCAGCCTCTTAGTTATACATAAAACAACACTAAAATTCTACAACGTTCTAGTAAAAATTCCAGGCGTAAACTTATGTATAAGACTTTGTATGGAAAAAAAATCAGAAGGTAATGGAGACAAAGAATTGTCTTCACGTTTTACCAGCCATTAGTATAAAGTAATCGACATTGCTGACGAGTGTTGTTGCACCACTTTGGCCAATTACCCCACTTAGTTTTGGAAGTGGTCACCACAAAAAATATATACATAAGGAAAAAAATAACACTAAATAAACGGACTACTAGTACAATTTATGGCGAGTATACATCATTCTCCATCTATACACTGGACATCTTTCGATACTGTAATAATCCATTCATCCGTAAGAGGCATCGAATTCAACTACGTCTCTTTCAAAGGGTGTATAAACGCGCATTTTTCTCGAATTGCGATAATTCTTCTCAGGCGATCCACAGCAGACGAAATGTACGGCTGATCATCGTTGTCTTGCACACTTCGCCAAACGTTTACGGACAGTTGCGTTCGAACTATCATTTTTCGCAACAATCTAACAGCACATCTAAATGACTTCGAAATAGTAGATGCTATGAAACAACAACACCCAAACACAAATCAAATTAAAGAATCCAAAGCAATCCCAAGAATACCTACGCAATTAGTGAAAACTATACAAGCCTGCATAAAGACAAGATAAAGAATAAAGCGTTCGATGTTGATTAATCACTTTGCATGCTTTGGCGCGCTTTGCACGCTTGGACTTTATCGAACATCGTTAGATACCGATGTGTTGAGTCAATGCTGCTATCCTCCCAGACAGCCTGGTAAATCTGCAGACCGCGGAAGGGCAGAAGAATTGGTGAAGAAGAGGGATCAATCCAACCAATGATCACTGATGTATTTCAGTGCACTTCTAACCACAGCGATACACATGCATAGCACTGGATAATTGATGATTAGACATCATGTTATCAATACCAGCAAATTCTCTTAGGGATTTCATGGAAAATTTTTCTATGCTATTGAAACCATGGGATAAGAAATCCGAATTATTGCCCAATAAATACCGCTGCCACTGCCATAAAAAGAAGGCAAGGAACTAAAAACCAAGAAAGAAAAAGGAAAAAAATAAAGAGCAAATGTCATTAGTAAATTAGTAAAATTCTCCAAGCGAGCGTCCTCACAAAATCTGGGTCCGCCTAAACACATTTTCTGCCTCTGTGTCGCGGAAAGAAATTTCCCTCCTTGTAACTTAGGTCCTAGCAAAATCCCACTATAGCTCATTCCTAACTAGGATTCCACACAGAAATGTCAGGCTCTTTAGCAGCTCAGAAAACAATGATGGGGCTCCACCACTGCTGTATATAGCGGTTTGACGCCTACAAACCATAAAGCGGTAAAGCCACTACGATCATACTATTACTATGTACTTCTATTGAATAATAAAAACTATCTTTTTTCAGATGAAAACAGTGTAATAAAATTCTCGACAATCGACTGAAAAAACTTTTTCTGTTTCTCACCATTTTAACACAGAAACAACGTGTTCACTCAATCCACACTTCAAAGAGAAATAACCACACCTTTTCTACTTTACAATTCGGTCGATCTTTGTATACTTAAAATACCCATTTATTGTACTACATCTACTTCTAAGGCCCTCTCTCATAGATGGATCTACTGCAGGTTAGACGCTAGGCAACGTAGAACCCACCAGTTGAGAACACGGTGTTAATCGCGGACCAAAAATGACCTTATACTTCCCTGAGACGCAGACGGATCCATAGGATGTACATTGTTTCTGCTTTGCCAATTCGACAGATACCTTCTGAGTTTACGAGGACATAGTCATGCATGCGTGCATAGGTATGTTCTCTTTTATGCGGATTGTATTCTACGAGTCATTTCCACCAAAATCTTGCGAACAAGCGACAGGGAAGCAAATGGGAGGCACTAAAGAGTCGCCTCCAAAAAATAACCTAATTGTTCACTCTCGGAGACACAGCCCAGCTAAAAGTGGGTGTACCAAGCCGCCCATGTTCACAACACAGGAAGATAAATGTGAGTATCAACAGCTAAACACTGTAAAATAAGTGAACTTCAAGTTCGTGTCACGAAAGGGACTCGACATGGTAGTGCAGATAGGACGAGTACGGACAAGCTGCTAAAATCTCTGCGAAATAGGACTCCATAAATATCCAAGGCCTAAGGTGGCGACCTATACCTAGAATGCATGCTCACTTTAATCTAAGCTCTCGATACAGGATTTGATAATTTAGGAAAAAAGCATAAGGTTCGACGTCATTGGATTGGCCGAGACAAGAAGACATCACCAACTCAACGCTGTCTATAATACCGCAGAAGTATCTTCCTCAGAACATGCGACAGTAGAGGAGTTGGCAGCGTCCGCGTTATCGTTAACACGAGTTTAACTATCAACGATTCATTCGAACAATCCCTGAGGGATACACCATGCATACGACCTCATTAAGCATCGTTGGAGGCGGTTAAATGCATATCTGGCCATTACACTGACTTGCAGTGGCCTGCCGATATATCGAGCCAGTGCTACTACCCTCCTAGACAAGTCTGGAACCAATTTGCCGAACCTGGAATGATGGAAGGCTTGTTGAGCCACACGCGCAGCGATCGATCACCACGTGTGTAATGCAGGGCGCCTCTGACCACTGGGCCACAAGCGCCACATGGTCTGTTATGTTGAATTTATCCTCACCTCACAGACTCTTTCATTTATGTGGGTGATCAAATAATAACAAATTAAGACAAGAACACACAGAAAGAAAGAATAGACTAGCCAAAAATAACATTACAGGCTCGAATAAATGTGTATATATATATGCATGTGCAAACATGTTTATGTATGTATATATAAATATATATATATATTTACATATGGACGTATGTGGAGAAGTCGTCGGAGGCGCCCCGCAATACAAGTGTGGTCGATCCCTGCGCCCAAGGCCCACCAAGCCCTCCATCCTTTCGGGTTCAGCAAATTGGTACTTGTCTGGGAGGATAGCAGCACTGGTTCGATACATCGGTAGGCCACCGCGAGTCATTATTAAGGACCGGTATATGCATTCAATCACCTCAAAACCATGCTTAATGAAGTCGAATATATGGCGCATCCCTATGGGATGGATCAACGCCGAGAACTTTATCTTCTATCCTTTATATGTATACGTATATATAAATATATGTATATATAAAACCTTGATGACGTCTAAATATACTTTCACAACGATGTGAATAGCTTACTTGTCACTGAGGAGTGCTCGACGGGTTGCTAACCAACACGATATTTCTTGTTTGGCATGCAGCTGAAGCAAAACCGTGCTTTCATCGTAAGGTATTACCTAAACCCGAATGCTAACCGAAAAAAGAACAATTCACTTCAAGCCAATTAGACCATAAAAAAAAGAATGAATGATTTGAAAAAGAGCTGAGAAGTGGTTTGACGCAAGATTTACCTCTATTGCAACATGTGCAAACTGCCCACAAACAGATCCGAGCTTGAAAGGAGCACCGCTTTCATTGAACACAACCGACACATAGTTATTGCCAATAAGCTTTTTCTTCATATTACAGTTAGGATCATTCTCTGCACAAGGCATCAAGGTTGCTACGAGGAACGTCTAAAAAAATCGAACAAATGAAAACTCCAACCACATAATTATAAAGAGAACACCTTAAATACGTAGCTATAGTAGGCTCAGTGAAAATATCTCACTATCTTGCTTAGCTCATCCTGATACTCATATGTATAAGATCCATGGTGTTCCGGAATCAGCCCACCGGGATGTTTGTCCAAAGCTATAGGAGAACCCAAAAGCCTGAAATGTACTGGATAAAATTTTATTCAATGGACGCAACCTTCCAAAGCCGTAAGAATTAAGCGTGACAAAACGAAATTGTTAGTACAAGTTTAATGTTAGAACTCGACAAAGAGAACTTTCAACGATTATACCAAATGAAACTGCTTGCTACGGGATTGGTGAATTCATAACATAAACTTTACTTAATGAAGCTCGAAATGTCTTTTTACTCTCTCTTCGATAGCAGACAACGAAAATAACACACCCCGTCTCAGTCTTGCTATAGTTCAAGTTGAGATGAAGAATATATTTTATTGCCTGTTTTAGTACTAAACAAGTATTATTATCGGTATTAATTTCAGTATTACTCAGTAATTAATTATACAATGACAAGAAAAGACGACAGATAGTCGAAAACAACTGACACCACAAGAATGCAGGCCTTCCTTAGGACGGCCACCTACACGTTGGGCTGGCGTATTCGTAGAGGTAACGTTAATGAGTTGTACATCCTGCTGCAGTTATTTTAGTGATCACGGTATGTGACTCGCACTCGCCACCATACTCGAATAAAACCAACACCATGGACGACTAGAGCGAGTGAAAGAAACGCGTGGCAAATGTGCTGAGCACCGCACAACTCGTGAAGGCAAACTGTCCATGTATCCAAGTAAGTAGGACGTCACATCCACTTTTCAAGCTGTTTACTATTTTAGTTTTCCATTCCTTGTTTGAAATAGTATCATTTAATTCAAAGCAACCAAGTTCTGCTAAACAGTAATAGTCTCTATAATACGCTGCGAAAATGAGATTGAATGAGTGATTCACTTCAACAAAGGGATAGTTTACTTCCTACTTCAAAAATCGAGAATAACGTTCCGATCCGTGAACATTGGCCAGAATTTGCACCTCGGTCTCCTGCTGTGCGCCCACGTACAATACGCCCACTGCATGATACTCTATTCCCGGAATCTGAAAGAATCCACATTGTTTATTTAGTTGAGATTAGACACCAAAGCCAATGAAAGATTACACGGTCCAAGTTGCGCAATGATCGCTGCAAAATCTCATCATTCGGCTTTCTACCGAGGCGGACAGTACCCGGTTGAACAGCAAAGTGTAGTAGAAGACTCGAACCCGGCCTTCGGATAGAGGTGGCTGGAACGATTTTATTTTTATTGTTATTATCTTTTTTTTGAATTTCGAAGTATCCATTTCACTCATATACTCTGACCTTCTTCAAAATCGTCGGGCCACTCCTCGAATGAACGCACAAGCCAACCGTTTTTGCCATACATATGACGTACTATCAGTTGAGTCCAAGAAACACACGGCACTATAAATTCTATAAATTTAGACGTTGCTTGTTACACTCGCGAAGTCGGTTTTTCGATAGCTGCTGAAAACTCTTTATAACTTATACTGGCTCAATATATTGGTAGGCCACCGAGCCACTGTACAGGCCAGATGTTCATTCAGTGCACTGTAGCGATGCTTAATTGAAGTCGAATGCACAGCGCATCCTCCAAGGATTAATCAACGCTCACATCTTCATTTTAACCTTTTATACCATAGTGAGTCCTCTACGGAATATTCCACCAGTGATTTAACTCTTCAAAACGACATATTCATATTTTAAGCTGTGCACTCTTTAATAATAGGTTGATTGGAAAACAACTGAAGCTTCGTACTTTGGAACACTGAAACTTCATTTCCAAACAAACTTCTATCTACCAATAAAATTAATGTTTCCGTTGTTTTTCGTTAACTTGGTTCAATTTACGTCAGCGGCGGAAAATGATAAAGAGCAAGTACAATCAATTCTTCCACTCGAATATGCATCACCGGATAATAGCGACGCCATAATAAAAAAGAAAACGTTGAAGGTGAGAAGTTTCAACAAGAAATCGATGATATTAATGGTGATCACTACTTGAGGATCCTACATGAAACAGATCCGTGCATTGGAGTTCGAATTTTCGGAAGAACAATACACAGAAGAGAGATTTAAGAAAACAGCAACAGGAAAGGACAGCAAAAAATCTCGATAAGTTGGTCCCGCATAAAGAAAACGAATAGATAAGCGATGGTCGTTATGAACATTGAAGAGGTAGTTTCTTTTGTGCAACAAAAAATCCCATTCACCGAACGCACTGTGACTACTAGAAATGAATTCCACAATACAACCGATGACATCCTGTGCAACCAATAAAGCATGAATATACACCGAGAAAAATTTTTGGAGTAAAATCAAGACTGAAAAATATCTCAGGACTTCTTCGCGCCTGGAAAAAATATTCATCAGAACATTAGAGTTGTCAGAACAACTCCCTAAGTGCTAGCGAAACCGCTGCCACAGAAAAATGCTGCCAAGAAAACGATAAAGCACGAGTACTACGGCGACGATTGCAACGGAACAATCTATCTAAAATCTACTGGCAGTGAACAACTATTTTTCAACACAACGTGCACTACATCTCGAAAAATCTACACTGTAGAAATTCAAAGGATGTACGCAACACAGTAAACGAGTTCACCGAGCAAACTCATTTGGACCCAGCCAACTGTCTATCTTTGTTTCAAACACCTCGACAATTATTTGCTTAGAAAATTCTCACGAACCTAGACATTAGTGGCTTCCGAATATTCAAAGGCTCCCGAAGTGTAAAATTTGATCGCGAGCGAATAATTTAGTCTGTAGCTCATGTATAAAAATGTGTGGATTATAAAGACTTAATTGTGATTAGTAAGGTCAGACTTTTCAAAATATATTTATTTGAGCCTCGACTATAAATCCAGACCAGTTTCTAAAGGGCCTAATGCAATGTCTCCTTGATCGCACTAGAAGCAAAGATAAAATATTTGAAACAAGGACATTCAATGAGCCCCACCTAGACAAAAAAATCTAAACGACACACGATGAAAATTCAGATCAGATGCATAGCGTTACTTTACGGACCTTTCCAAACATTGTTCCTTTGATGCGGTCCCGCTATCGTATACATATCATCTAAAGCTTTTCTAGGTGCCCATTCGTCTGACATTTGGCTCGCTGGACAACGTACTTGAATTGCAGATTGATGCCGCCGTCGCTAGAATACGAAATGTGTTACGATGCCATATGGTTTAACAAACAATGTAAAGTATATTAAAGCAACAAGAAAAATATTTGTAACAAATTTTCAAGGGATAGTTCTTCACTTTGAAACCATGAAGTTATTCACTACCAACCTGTTCACTGAAATTTGTAGCTGCCTGAGATGATGTCTCAGCTGTAGCTACTTGCTCGACACTTGAAGCAAAAACTTCTCCAAATGGATCTGGAGTACATCAAATAGTTCAGGTAACGGTTTAACAGAAACATCATTCAGGTAATAAGACATTAAGAAAACGATGATTTAACGACGAATAGACAGAAGAAGACTACGATTGGTTGAATGCATTGCACGGACCAGTTTCTGATTGTGCCACTTCTTCCCTTTCACGGTCTTTGCTATAGTCGAGGAAAGTCCTTACAGTGATGATAGAGTCGTTAACGAAATAGTGTTCTTGTGTGCTTTCCGCCAACCGTTCGGGAATCTAATGAAAGTACAAAAGAAGTGTTCAACACAATGACTGCCAAAGAACAATAGAAAAAACTTTACCGGTGCGCAATATGAATGATAAAAGACCATAAAATTCCAAACCTTAGGATCTCCCCAATCATCTTCAATTTCTTTGTTGTGAAAAAACACTGACATCGCTTTCAAAATTTCACCATGAACCTAAAAAACGGCAAGGATTTTGGATGGGGTTCTCAACAAAGAGTGACAAAAGGAAAGGTTATAACCGCTTAACTCAACTTTTTGAGTTGTGTTTTTTAATTGTGTTTGTTATGCGTAAATGTTCTTCCTGACGTATTTTTTAATCCTTTGCATTTAAATTTTACCTTATTAGTTACTGCCTACTCCTTTTTTAACGGTAAGGTATATTACGAACTATGACTTCAATGATGCTGAGATATTTGCAAAACTCAGCTGGTAGTTGAGAGACAGGCGAAAGGAAGAACTCGCATGGTGTGGTGGTGAACGCGCTACAGCCTGGAAAGAACAATAGCGCGTTCGTTCCCCACCGCAGACACCTGCGGTCCGGAGTGTTGCAAATATCTCAGCATCACTGAAGTTACCTTTCCATTTAATTGCAAAGTTTTTAAACTGTCCAGTTCTGGATAGCTTTGTACTGTTTTGTTATTGTATCACATTATATTATTGCTACTATACTACTTATATTATACTACAGCTATCAGCGGTTTACCACCTCATCGTAGCTGGAAGGTGTTCGTGGGTGTCGGACTGCGATGCGATGTAAAGAGGAGGGACATGTCCTAGCAGCAGAATCTCTCCAAACTGAGAAGGAGTCCGGCGTTTCCTTCAGGAAACCTGGCTAATAGTAAACCAATACCAGGACCCACCACCATTCTGGTATCAAAGTAGCCACATGTTGACAAAACTCCCTCCAATTCACAACACCGGCGACTGCCTGTGGTGACGACGGCCTGGAGCAGGCTCTGGCTAGGCTAACCTCGGAATTTCAGGAAACCACAACAGTGAAACCAGCAAAACTCCGAGAAAAATGAAATTATGCTGGAGTCGGCAAAATTAGTGAGGGCAGGCCATCCAAGTAAGTAGGTAGTAAACAACACTGCATTACAATTACACTATTTTATTGTCGTTTCATTAATTTCGCATTGTTTTCATATATTGTACATACCACTTTTTAGTACATTTTATATGGGCGTGCCAAGCGCAGTGGTTAGGGGTGCTTACGATGCAAACAGTCGTCGGTTCAATAACGCATTGCCAGAACTAAGCCATGCACCCACACAAGACCAGCAAACTGCGAGTTGTCTAGTTAGATAAGAACACTAACTTGATAAAACGGTAGTACTTCAATATTTATGCTAAATATGATTACATTGACCTCTATGATGCTTAACAGGAGTTGAACGTAATATGCACTTTTAATGATGTATCAGCAGTTCAAGTCCTATCCTTTCATCCTCTCAGTGGTACGCAATTTTTCCTTCAGATTTCTTTTTTGCTGGATTTTAACCTTAAGAATTGTTTTTGCCAGCTTTCGAAAACACGCGAACGAAAAACAATGGAATATTATAGTCCAACTTTCATGTATATATATATATATATATATATATATATACATATATGTATATATATGTATGTATATAAAAATATTTAAAGACAACCAAGCTAGCAAGCCAAGGATGAAGTTTGATCTATTAACGTAGGACGAAACTATGTTGGCTGTTCCTTGTTCCTATGAAAAAGACTACGAAAATACCAACGGGTATTAGTATAACAACGATGGTATGGTCAGCAATGCGCGATTGTAAGGCTTGCAGAACCCATGCCTGCAGAGATGAAGTGAACCCGAAATTGAATAGACGAATCCAAACCAAGATATCTTCATAAATTATCCACGGGTATTATTATATATCTGGATATAGAATAGACCAAAAAGTACGGACAAGAAAAGAGTCCGCCCAGAAGCAAAAAATATTGTGGATTCAAATGCATCAAACCGATGCACAACCGAGTCATGAACTTCTTTACACTAATAAGAGCGAAATATAAAGAAAGAGGAGCGCTAACTCATCCTAGAAGCTAGTGTAGTGCAAATAACTATCGTCAGATGAAAAGAAACTATGGGTTAATACAAAAAAATTGCTCAAAAAGTGCCCCAAAAAACAAAACAAACACAACGAGTTTGAATAGTACAAAAATAAAGTTCTCGACATAGAACAATCTCTGAGGGTTTAACGTTTTGTTTTCTGCCTTCTATAATTTTCATGGCAGGTTACTAAGCGAAATACAACTACAACGTTGCTGAGATATTTGCAAAACTCTGGACCGCAGGTGTCTATGGTGGGGAACGAACGCGCTATTGTCCTTTCCGGGAAGTAACGCGTTCACCACCACACCATGCGGGTCCTTCGTTTCGCCTGTCAGAAATAGAGGAAGGCAGACAACAAAACGTTAAACATTGTGATTTCAACTACAGCCATAGCTTAACTGGGTTCTATGCCGATTTGCGCTCCCCAGATCAACCCCGCTGACGGGTGATTGCTATGGCAAAAAGATCGATAGAAATAGCTGAGAGACAGGCGAAACGAAGGACCCGCATGGTGTGGTGGTGAATGCGTTACTCCCCGGAAAGGACAATAGCGCGTTCGTTCCCCACCATAGACACCTGCGGTCCAGAATTTTGCAAATATCTCAGCAACGTTGTGGTTGAATCTTTGAGGGATCCGTCAGACACTCGACTTCATTAAGCATAGTTGAAGGTTACTGAATGCATATCTGGTCTTTTACAATGACTCGTGGTGGCCTACCGATGTATTGAGCCAGTGCCGCTATCCGCCAGAGAAGCCTGGTACCGATTTGCAGACCCTGGAGGGATGAACGGTTTGGTGAGCTTGGGGCGGGCGGATCGATGCCATGTGTACTGCAGGGCGCCTCCGACCACTGCGCTACATGCGCTCCACAAAACTCATACCATAGAAAGATGGGTTAGAAAGAATAGAAAGAATAGCTTAACTCACTCTGTCAGGACCACGTTCTTGCTTAGATGCAGCACCATCCATCGGGGGAGGTGTTTCAGGCATACCATTGCCTCCTAGTGTGAACAACGCACCTGGTACCTGCAGTGGAACATGAAAGATTATTATAAAGTAAGCTTAAATAAACTTCTAACCTGACGTCCATCGCCACTGGGCTGCCGATTCACACCTGAAGATATATCAAGAGCCGACAAGAATGGAGATGTTCGCACCGCATTTTCAATATGGCTGAAATGTCATTCCTCAGAAGTATCAGAAGACAAAGCACTTCCTAGTGCTCATTAGACAACATACTTTTGTATGCGGTAGCGCATTTTCTCTGGAACACGGTAAAACCATCGCATCATTACGCGGTGTATTGCAGCAACGATGAATGTGTTGAATTTATGGACGTTTGTATACGGCGCCAAGGTGTCGATTATAGAACGAAAATGTTTTTCCTGCAAATATTTAAAATCTTTTTTGAATTCTCTGATTAACGAAACTATTAAAATTCCTCTACAAAACTCTTAACATACCTGAAAAAACTTGTAAAATTCAGGAATCTCCGCAGAATCAGAAAGTAATTCCATGATAGGGATCGCACGCACAGCATTGTATTGCATCTGAGACAACGTCTCAGTGAGCACGAGAGCTAATCCAGCCATCGCAGCAGGCGCCAATTGTATCGCCAAGTCACAAGCAATTACTGCCTTCATGAAAGAAAACAATATTTAGATCAGGAAGGTGAAACCATTTGTTACTGCTGCTATATTAAATGAACTATATTTCATTTTCCCAGATAATTTTTTCTTCGGTGAAATTTCGCCTCCTAAGAAAACATTACAAAACGCAGACTAGTATACCTCCATACTCTCCTGCAACACACACTCTACAAGAATTCGGCAGAGTTCAGTATTTCTCTGTTCTTGACGACATGGGTAGTTCAACTGAAATAAATCCAACAATGAAAATAAAAAAAAACAATAGCAAAAGTAGTGTCATAAACCTCACCAATGTACATAATATAGGTGGCAAGAACTTAGCAATTTGTCCTCTCAACTGTTTTTCATCAACTTGTCCACACACTAGCAGACTATCATCAACATGAATATGTGATGCAATATTGCCGCACTCAACACGCTGATATATCCCGATGAGCGCATGAGCCAATTCGTCCACCTGAAAACATCTGTACTAAAGACCTACTGAAAAAAAGAAGTCAACGGAGTATAAACAACAAGTTACTGTTGTGATGTTCAAGGACCTCCTTTACACGAAAGTCCACGAGTTAGTCATTTGCATTAGGGACCAAAAGAACCGTGCAGCTGCTCTATGAAACTGCCGAATAAAAATGATGCACTCCATATCTATAGTGCAGAGGGATTATACCTTCCACATGCATATGGACATATTCACGCCATAGTAGGTTGTTACCTTTCGATTCTACGTTTATGTAAATTCGATCAGAAATAACTCAAATATGTAACTGGGACGTATCATATATTGTAGAGGGTGCTAGTTTCCAAGAAGTATTCTTCATTGCTAATCCCCCACAATTTTGTCCTATCGCTAAAGGAGAACCCAGTGAGCTACCAATAGTTCCTCTTTTGCAATGAACAGTTTAAAGAAAACCTCATTTGAAAAGAGTGGTGCTTTTCATGAACACTGAGCAACCAACTGGGACTATAGTGCACAAAATGGATAAACGCATTTGTGCCCTCTCGAATGATGAAGAGGATCACTGGGTGATTATACCTTCCAACCTTCATGTTTCACACTTTTCAAAATGAGGACACAAAGTCAACACTGACCTGATCTTCACTTGCTGTTTTCACAAAAACGATGTGCTCAAGCACGCGGCGAAGTTGTTGAAGTATAGCACGCAGTACAGGCCACCTGGCTCAGTTTGTTTATTTCAGTGGGAGACGAGATTTAAAAAACAGCATAGCATTAAGTATTATAGATCTAAACAACAAAGAATTTTAGAACCACTTGGCTCTTTTAGATACCCGACTTCTTTGCAAGAGCAAGTTGCAAAACATCCCGTAATATGTCCGCAAAGATTGGCTCAAAATTTTTATTATCCAAATTCGTGAGTACCGCAGTAATCAAATACAACACATAAGCGACCATATGCACTGATTTCAATGGATATATAGAGGTTGGACAGTACGCACTGATTTCAATTCATGACCTTCAACACCGTTTTTTTCAGCAGTTTCTTCTTGTTATACTTTCGTTTTTAGCGGGTCATAAAAAGCCTTTTTGGACACTCTCCTCGTCTTGTTTAAATTGCGCCTCTGGCATTAACTGTTATAATCGTATAACTCGTCACGAAGAATTAGTAGATTATTCGGAACATTTGCATGGCCTTTTTGTATTATGTGGAAGTACTCAGGGTCCATATGTCTGGCAGATAAAAGATGACCTGACCGAAAACTAGAAGCTGTTTATCGAAAGACTTAAATTTGTGCAGAACTCGCCTTCCTCAAAAACAAAATCCAGACAGCATCTCCATTACCACTTAGTCTGCTCGAAAAGACAAGGACATTGAAGCTGGATCCTATTGCAACACTCCTAACACATAGTAAACGCCAGCTGATGAAGATCTTTGTAAAAGACCTCATCGAAGTATGAAGACAAAACTACCACCTCATCCTCCCATTCAATCAATACGGAGAACAACACGAAGGAGGTAACAGAAAGAAGATGAAGAGCAGCATGGACCGCATTTGAGCCACTCAAAGAAGCTACCGACCAACTAACCGACCCAAACTCTGTGCTCATCCTTTCGATTCAACAGTCTTGTTAGCTCAGTCCAAAGATGCAGCAGAAACGTGGGTTAGCACTTCAACCATATCAAGAGATCTGCGCTCTAGCCACAGAGCACCTGGATGATGTTTTCAGAAATCTAACCACCACTCACAAAGTCTAACCGGAATGCGCAGCTCACATCTCCAAAATCTAACGTATCTTCGGTATGCAGAAGAACATACATCGATAGCGAAACACAGATTTGCCTGTCACATAATAACGATCACAGAATGAGATTAGCGTACGTCATCACCTTCGAAGAAGACCAAGACCATGGATGACGACTGCGGTGAGGAAAAAAAAGGAAATTACGCTGAGCGTCCAATCATGCAACTATGCAGTACCTCATTCCTCCTGGCTACACCAAGCATAAAATTTTCAATATTTTCAAACTGACCATCATTTAACCTCTTCATCAATAATGAATACCTTCTTGGATTAACAAGGTAACACGGGCTTGACAAAGATGTTTATTCGGCTAACGTTTCGACGTTCTCGTCTTCGTCAGAGCCGATGAATCTAGTCGACGGACCACAGTAGCTCGTTATATTCCTATTTACATAAATTTCAGCTTTTAAGCTTTTGTTTTCAAGTTTTGAATTTTTTTTAGTTTTTGTCTTTTGTTCCTAATCATTACGATGATTCATATTCATCGGACATTAATCGCTGGATATAGAAAACCAAAAATCCCAAAATACACTTCACATATTTTAGAAAACCATGCAGAAGACCGAGAGGCGGTGCATTAGTTGGTGATGCAGTCTATTAGGAGGCACAGACGCCAGTCTGACCCCCTTTCCAACGCCTATTTCCCCAATCCAAGTGGGAACGCCCTGGTCTTGCTATCTCGAAAAGTGCAAACAGAATCGAATCGACCAGCATTGAACAACCTTCATAAATATGATAAAATCCTCAAGCAGCAACCTAAACAAGATGAGAAATATTCGAAGACAACTGTGGACGTATGATTCAATTGAATGTAAGAAGCTCCGAGATTCGCATAGCAGATGTCAACACTGGTCAGATAAAATAAAAATAAAAGAAAAATACCCAAGACTGGAAATAACGGATAGCGGAAGGGTTCTTTTTTTCACCGTACATAAGAGCTGGATACATTGCAAATAAAGGATAAAACTCTCGGCGTCGATCAATCACTGAGGGATGCGCCATGCATTCGACTTCATTAAGCATCATTGGTGGTGATCGAATGCATATCTGGCCTTTACAATGATTCGCGTCGGCCTACTGACGTATAGAGCGAGAGCTGCTATCTCCCAGAGAAGTCTGGTACTAATTTCCCGATCCCGGAAGAACAGAAGGCTTGGTGAGGCAGGGGCGCGCGAATCCATCGCATGTATATTGCAGGGCTTCTCCGACCACTGCGCTACACGTCGCAAATACATGGAAAAACAAACAGAAGAATGTATAGAGCATAATAAACACAAACAGCTATAGAAGTCAGCGAAGACATTGCGAGGAAAAACCGAACTATGCACTGAGCAACAGGAAAAGCGGAGTTTCCTTTTCAAGGTAGAGCGGACTTTCCGCAATGCTTACAACGCATACCATGCACATCAAAAAATTAGGCGCCGTCTTATGGAGCAACCACGCTATTTTAGACAATATTTGCGGACGACAACGAAAACACAGTGTTGACAACTAATTATAATTCAAGAATTAACATTTTCGTCTTACCAAGTATCCTGTCTCGCCGCCAAAACCACCACAGAACAAATGCACGACCATGAAAAGCCAGTCGTTACGGTATCCGGAACACACGAATCTGCACAACGGATAAAGGTGTTCACACGTGGCCAGTCTTCACCGAGACCGTGAAACGCTGTAAATCCACGAATTTTAATAAATTATAAGTTCACTTTTATAATTTAATCTAATTTGACAATAATTTAAAAACAATTTACAATAATAACACAATAATTACAATTTACTTATTAATTTAAGACGTAATTTACAAAAATCACTTAATAATAAGGGCTACCAATTAACTAAACTAAAAATTAATTATCGAAAATTTTTTAAGAAACTAAATTAATAACCTGCCACTAAAAAATAGTAGGCAGTAAGTAAAAGCTGACATTATAACTTATAGCATCACTTCAGCTTAACTGGGTTCGTGCCGATTTATGCTCCCCAGATCAATCCCATTCACGGGTGATTGCTGATAGCGCCTATAGGTCAATAAAAAGGCTGAGAGACAGGCGAAACGAAGGACTGGCATGTTGTGGCGGTAAACGTGTTAGCTCCCGGAAAGGGTAACACCGTGTTCGGTCGGCACCGCAAACACCAGTGGTCCAGAGTTTTGCCAATATCTCAGCAACATTAATAATAATTTAATTTCATAATAATTCAATAACTTCAATTTAATCATAGTTAGTTTTAAAAAATTTAATCGAGCAGAGAATTAAATACAGTGTAGATACAGGTGCCTTGTAGTGAGACTCGTCTTATGCTATCACGATGTGATAATCCATATGAAGGACATAATTTGAACTAAAATAAAGAATCGGTGTAACCATTAAAAAAATGTAATTTTTATGTGCAACCACTACGCACGAGAGCAGAAAGCTCAGTAATTAGAAATGCTGCGGAATACGCTAATGATCGCTGATTCAACCCCAAACTGGCCTAACAAACTCTCCCCCACTCCGTTCCTTTGTAGTCGGGAAGTTGATGCAAGACCATTCTGAGAAAAAGTTCTTTCGATCCACAAATGCTGATCATTGTACAATATAAAAATTTACGAACGCCTTAAAAGAACCATTTTAACATTTATCCCTAACACCAAGTAGACCAGAATTCGGCAGTCCTCAAGTAGCAATCCAACGTATATACAAATTAAAAGACGTTCATGGATAACGGATGTAAGACAATTGACCTTTATTTTTAAAAAAAAAAGTTTGAATTTGTACAGCTTTAAGATGAGTCACCTATGTCAAATGAAAGTAAAAATTAGTTTTGCGGTTGCAAACCTCTTCAAAAGGAGACTATTATGTTGCCCATAGTTCAATATTTAATTAAATTTTTTTCTATGGAAAAACCTTTTCCAAAACCTTTTCCAAAACCTTTTCCCAAGAAAATAAACTCCACTTGAAAAATATAAGGGACAAAGGACAAAACATTTGACATTAACCAATCTTAACCCTTTTATTTACTGCCTTTTTCTTTTTAATGGCAGGGTATGTTTTTGCAAAACTCCGGACCGCAGGTGCCCGTTGACGGGTGATTGCTGATGGCAAAAGATCAATAGAACTAGCCGAGAGACAGGCAAAACGAAGGACCCGGATGGTGTGGTGGTGAAGTGCACTGCTCCCCGGAAATGACAATAGCGCGCGTTCGTTCCCCACCGCATACACCTGCGGTCCGGAATTTTGCAAATATCTCAGCATTATATACGGACTAACCAATCTCTTAACAATGCGTGATGTACTAGACTGTTCGGAAATAAATGAGCGTTTTAAAAGATTTATTGTGTTAATGTAGTTTTTTACCAATAAAATATCCTTTGTACCTTGCAGTATTATATATTAATAAAAAGCTGATTTTAAGCTCTTTCTGACCGTGTCTTTATATTTTGTCAATTTTTCATCGAAAGTTGACACTTTCTTTTTTTACCAATTTTGAGCTTTGCAATTTTAGATGTCAAAAACGAACCTTCGTCAAATTTTCTTTCATGAGTTCAAACTCGGTTGTAGTGCAGCAGAGACAGCTCGAAACATTAATGGAGTTTGCTTTGAAGATAGTGTTGGTGAATTAACAGTGCGAACAAGGTTCCGGAAATTCCGATCTGGTGATTTCGATCTCGAAGTTGAGGAAGACGGCGGATGTCACAATGAAATTGACGACGGCAAATTGAAGGCACTAGTGGTAGCAAACACCCGAAAAACCGTTCGGCAACTTGCATAACAACTTGGCGTAAGCACAAGAACAACTTCCGTCCACTTGAATCGCATAGGAAAGACAAAAATGGAGAACTGGGTGCCGCACGAATTAAACAAGAATAAAAAAAGTAGCCATTTTGAAGTGTCGTATGCTCCTATTCTGTGTAACAAAAGCGACTCTTTTCTTGACCGAATTATGACGTGCGATTAGAAGTAGGTTCTGTAAGAAACCGGCGACGTTCAGCTCAATGGCTGAATTGCGATCAGGTTCAACAGCACTTCTCAAGACCAAAAGTGCAATAAAAAAGAGTATGGTGTCTGTTTGGTGGTCTGCAGCCGAGGTGATTCATCACAGTTTTCTGAAACGCAAAAAAGCGTTCAACGATTACGGCATAGAGGTATTGCCAAAAAATCGACGAAATGCACCGTAAACTCCAACAACAACGACCGGCATTAGTCAACAGAGAGCATCGGTTGTTCTTCACGACAACGCTCGGCTTCACGTTGCCAAACCAGCGCTACAGAAGTTCGACGAGTTGGGCTAGGAAACGCCTCATACGTCGTATTCAACAGACCTCTCGTCTACCGACTATCACTTCTTAAAGCACCTTGACAACTTCCAGCGCGAGAAATGCCTCACCAACCAAGATAACGCAAAGAAAGCGTTCAATGAATTCATCGTTTCCAGAACTCTTTTCATGCAACTTTTTTATTTTTATTATGCGTCGTTTATTTTATGAAACTGCAATAAATAAACTTTTCTCTCGTTGGTTAAAAAAAGTACAGATTCAATAGTTTTTATCTTGATTAACAAAATAGTATTTGAAGCAAGTTATGACATTTTAAATCACGCAGTTAAAAAAGCTCATTTATTTCTGAACAACCTAACATTAACCTACATGGCGCATCGTGAAAGTGACTGAATGCACATCTGGCCTACGCACAACGACTTGTGGTGGCCTACCGATACAACACGTCAGGGTTTTTATTTTCCCAAACAACTGAGCTACACCATTTGTCGACTCCATACTAAATAGAACTTGGTAAATCTGATGAGTGCAATTAAATCAACGACCAAATATTTTCCTAAAGCACTACTAATTGCGCTACACGTTCCCATATTGAAAATATTGTTATAAAGTTGTGTGAGATATAAGTCACCCAGATTATGACGGTCTACACATCTTCTCTTTCATCGTTTGTTCTTCTTTGATCTTCGTATCAGTAAGTGACAACTGTGCTTATATCAGAGAAATTACTAATACCTACTCAGTCTTCTTGTAATTGGGCAGCAATGTATAGATAGTAAAGCTGAGAAAGTACGTAGGCGGACATCAGAACCTTGTTCACCAGTCCAACCAGCTAAGTACTGAGCACGCAAATGGTCGACCATTATGCCTATGAACTAAATTTTGTAGAAAGATAAGACTTTTCCGAAGTTTTGAGTGATGATGGACGACTTAATGAAGTACTGTTTCACAAAGGCTTTTAGTAAGTAAACTAGTTCATCTATCTACATAATGCTATCTACAATTGAATGAAAAACAACCGTTGAAACTCACTAACGATTATACTCAACGTATTAAGATTCAGTGCTTGCCACCTCTCAGAAAGCAGTTCACCTAAGCTTTGTGCAACCACTTCAAGGTTATCGAAGCTCAAGGCTGAAATTTCGATGTTGATTGCAAAAATCTCACAAAATACAAGGATGAAGGTTTACATCCTGTCCGCGGTGTAGGTGCACGTATAGGTGGACGAGATTCCGCGTCATTTTCGTCCTCTATAGCTGTTTCCACTGTGGTGCGCATAATGGACGCGGTAAAGGAATGTCGTACAATTCCCATCACTGAATCGAAAAGTCGCGCGTCATCTCGCAATGACACTGTTTTTGCAACGTCAAACAGGATATTGAGCATTAAATACTGAAATGTGGTGACTTTTCTATAACTGACTCCAAACATGAGAATTCTGAAGAATCTGGATAAGATAGGAATAGTAACAACTAGAACCCCACTTGAATGCGTGAGCTCGGTTCATTCTCAGTATCTTGCAATATCGGTATCATGAGCTGAGTGACCAGTTCGTGCTCGTATAGCAGACGATATTTTATGTAAAACGAATGCAGCTCCGACATAGCCTAAAAACGTTAATATTTTAGCATACTTCGTTTCTACAGATTTAAATTTTCATCATTTGCTGCAATATTGGTATGCCTACTTATCCATCATTTTAAAAACAACTTTTGCCGTTGCAAGCCAAAAGGGAAAAAGAACAACATTAGGCCAAAACCTTGCTTCTTCGCTCAACCCGTTGTGACTCAGCAGAGTATCTTCGCACAAGTTGCAACATGCGTTGAATCCAATTAGGAGTTAGTGGTGTCAAGTTCTAAAGCGGAACATTAATAACACAACTCTTACTATGAAACACGTTAATGCTACACTAACACATTACAACCCTGTGCCGTTTTAGTGGCTCGTCCAACCGAATGCGTACAATTTTTTCGACGGATGCGGACCTTCTGGTTGTTTGACAATAAAAACCTTTTCTCATAAACCATAATAGCACCGGAGAGGTTATGACTACGACAGAATTGTAGAACAGAGCTTGTTCCTTCGTTCTATGGCTATGATTAGTATGCGTGCTGCTATATACTGTATGTTACTATGGTCCACTTTGCAAAGACACTGTTGCCAGCAGTTAGAAGTACTTTGCACACTATCTTCAGTATGTATCGGTGTTCTTTAAATCCGAATATTCTATACAATGATCACGGCGATTAAAATGGAGTAACAATAAATTGTTAACATTTCCGCTCAATGAGCTTCTTCGGAAGAAGATTTATAGCAAATCATTAGGTGTAGTGAATGATTTTCTAGTCTCCCACCTCCTATCTTGATCTGCTTTCAATTAGCTGTCAAAGAAATATGCGGAGTGGGGTAAGAAAACTCTGGAAGCCACAAAATTGAATATGGACTTTACTGTACGCATACATGGCGGAATGGGTTTAAACCATTAATGCACGATAGAGTGGTAGTGATCCCGTCTATTACTCAGACGAACCAACCTACCCAGGGTCTTCTTCGATTCGGCCACTGGACCACAAATCCTTTCATCCAGCGTCGAGAAATTGGTATCAAACTTGTACGCGACCATTTCACTACCGCTAATTCAGGCATGATCGTCCTAGTACAGTATTCACAGGATTCCATGGAGAATCGATCTGATCAGCATTAAAAAAACATTCGTGAAGAAAAAAAATCCTCACGTAGCAGAGCATGCCACAGGCAAAAACGTTCGAAGACCTTCGCGTATAGTGGATGTAGGGAAACGAATCGAATGTAAGAACTGCTGAGATCCATATAGTGTGAAACAAGTGATGTCAGGTTATGTAGTAAACACTTGCTACTTGGATACTTAGACGGCTTGTCCTCATGCGTTGTACGCAAACAAGCACCTTTCTATTCGTTTCTTTGCCTCGCAATCGTCGTCCATTAGGTGGTTTGCTTAAGAGCATTGCAGCGGATGTTACTCTCATACCGTGACCAGTAAAAAATCCGCAGCAGCGAGCACAACTGATTTTGTTTGCGCGCACCTCCGTCCAAAGTTGCCCTAGGGGACGCCTGCATACTCGTGAAGTCCACTGCACAGTTTCCCTCGTCCAATCGTCGTCTGTTCTTATTATATGACAGGCCATCTATATTTCGCCACCGATGTGTGTTCTCCTAGATCTCGAAGACGAAATAAACTTCGAAAATCAGAGCTTTGCATCCCAGCAAGAAGTTCTGTGCGCCGATTGCATTTGAGAAGACATCGTTCAAGAACTTTGTGAGTAGTGCGCAGTATTCTTTACGTGGATGAAGAATCAGCCCACGTCTCTACAGCAGTAACAGAGTGCTCGAAGGACTGTTGGATCAAAAATGTGAGCATGGATTTTCGGGTTTTTTACTTGGTTAGCGGGTTCCTTAAGAGCCCTGAATGCGGCTCAAGTTACTCTCTTTTTTCTATCTAACTCCTCCTTCATGTTGTTCACTGAACGTCCAAGGTACACGCACGAAGTGGCCCCTGCAAATAGAGAGCCATCCGGTTTGGTCCGTTCGCCTTCACACCACTACAGGTTCTTCATGAACGGGGTCAACTTCCGATATATGCGTACTCAAACCTTCGAAACAAAAATTTGATAAAAATTTTTCATCAACATGAATGTCCTTCTCATCCCAATCGAGAGACTTCATTATTCACTCCAGTGCGGCACTAAACAGTTTAGCAATTTGGTGTTACCTTATCGAAACTCTTCCTATAAGTATGGTAAGAGGTCGATGGAAAAGCTATTTTCGAGGTCCAGTTCTGATAACAGTCAGACAGAGTTCTTATAAAGGACGGGTATACTCTTCGGTTGAGAAGCGCTGATAGGATTGCATTCCTTTCAACACTACCAAATGCTTTTTCACAGTCGACAAAAGTGACGACTAATAGCAGGTCGTACTCTGTTCAAACATCAACGACCCTGGACACGGTTTGGATGTGGTCCACGCAGCAGAATCCCTGTCGAAATCCAGCTTCTTTACCTGGTAGCTCCTCAATCAATGTCCTCAGTATGCGCGATTGGATAATCTTCGTGAAGAGTTTGTAGAGCACGCTCAGCAAGCATACCGGAAGATAGTTACGAAGATTCCTTCGGTCACCTTTCTTGGCCAGGATGAACGTGCATAAAGTCGTCCTCTGGTCTAGGATTCTTTCCTTTTGAAAGTAGGATGTCGTATGGTTCAGCGTGGTTGGATTCGTTGGAAGCAAACAACAGAAATGAAAACTACCTTTCTGAGCATGCCACTATCGGAAAAACCACTTTAACAAATTTGTGATCATATGTATTGTATCTCTGTTTCTATTTAAATGTTTATTTTTTCGTAGTTTTCTTTCTGCTATATCTCTCCTATGCAGTCAACAGTTTAAAAAAAACCCGATAACAGAGCTAAAGTTTTTGAAAATCTAACGCAAGCATGAAAGGTAAAGGACAAAGCTCTCAGCTTTGATCAATTCCTGAAGGATGCGTCAAGCATTCGACTTCACTAAGTATCGTTGGAGGTGAATGAGTGCATATCTGGCCTTTATAATGACTCGCGGTGGCCTACCGATGTATCGAGCCAGTGCTGCTATCCCCCCAGACAAGTCTGGTACCAATTTGCCGACCCCGGAGAGATCGAGGTCTTGGTGGGCCATAGGCGCGAGGATCGATTCCACGTGTGTGTGCCAGGGCGCCTCCGACCACTGCGCCCGTGTCAGCCACAAATAATAGGGGTATTCCAACGAGAACAATTCTGCCATTTCCAACGAAATATCGCCTGTTTGACTGCCTTCATGTTAGAATTTTAAAAATTCCAGACTAAACAAAACACCGAAATAAAACCCTTTTTCGTACGGAAAATCAGAATTTAATTTCAGTAGAATAAAAGAACTCTTATATTCCAGCAAAGATATGTAGATTTTAATTCATTTCATTTCAAGGAATACGATACATGGAGTACATTTGGGAATTTTTATACGGCAACCATCTTAGTTCTGTACTTATTTTTTACAGATACTAGGATACATGCACAATGATTACTTCTGCTGGCGATTGCGTAATTTCCATTCTCCTGAAATTTGGCGGCTTATCTATTGTGGTTCATTCGAATCCCTAGGTTAGGGTAGCTGAAGCCTTCTTAGGTCGTCGATGGCTGTCGTATTTCATGCAGATCAGAGCGAGATGCGACTAGTGCTAGTACGATGGTGATTTCCAGTATTGATTTACTCCTAGCCAAGCTTCTTGAAGGAAACGTCGAACTCCTTTTTAGCATTGGAGACCCTACCGGGAGCATGAATCCCCCTGCTCTACGTCACAGTCCAACACTCAGGAAGCCTACCAGCCACGATGAGGCAGTAAACTGTTGCAAGGTTATTTTCACAGATGTTGAGAATCATTCCGCATTTTTATCCACTTTGTTTCCACTCAAAGCCTGACGGAGGCGAAATGTTGTACTGTACCCAATGGTAAGCTGTATGGAAGGCAATTCTCTGTCTTATAGTTTACATTAAGAGAAAATGTATAAGTCTACTTTTGCAATTCCATGAGATATGGACCATAAAGAGGACGTGTAGCGCAGTGGTTAGATGCGCCCTGCAATACATATGGGATCGATCTCCACGCTCCAGGCTCACCAAGCCTTCCATCCCTCCAGAGTCGGCAACTTCATCTTTGATCCTTTTACAGAGCACAAATAAGTGGATAAGAAAATTGATAGCCCACCATAGATCGGTACTGAATTAATTTCACAACTGATGTATCAGGTCGTCGATCAGCGCATTTTTCTATGAGATCATAAAGTAGATCTGGAGGAGCAGCGAAGTGACCATCAGAATACAGCTGCTCCGTAAGTAGAAGGATTTGGTGGACAGAATTCTCGCACAACTTCGCATATTCGAGCCTCTGCAAAGAAAAGATGACGGGAGTTAGTGAAATACCTAATGAAGTTCACAACAGTACGAAGGACTTATTACAATAAAGATATGAGTGATATAGCTACTTTTACTTAGAAAGTATTCATGGAAATGCCAAAAATTTGACCTAATAGAGGAGATACCTGTTCGCAAAGATCGATTGCGCTTTCTAGCAACTCCATTAGTTTAATCCAAGTCATGTGTTGTAAATCTCGACCATGTTTCTGAACAAGTCTTCGGATATCGAAAAGAACATCTGAAATGCAATAGTTCGGCGAAGACTAGCATTCGAATTCAAACCATATGTAATCCCCAAAGGTTTACAGAATTAATATCGCTGTAGATGTTTCTTGTTTTCGAACTGCGATGTACAGTAAGGAACCAAGAAGGGCGCCATCCTGGACAGTTGGATATATATATATATATATATGTATATATATACATATATGTATATACGGATATATACAGAAGCCTACAGAAGGGAAAAGTTTGCTACAACACATTTCGGCGGGCTACTTTTCGCTATCTTCTCTTCGAAAGCAACAGAACTTGGGAACAAGCCACAATGTAACCAAAGTATAACGCGCATAACGAAGGGGAATTTGAAAGCGAAATGTTGTCATGTCGACCCAAACAGCAGTGTCTAACGAGCGTCTATGATGC